AACTTCCCCTTTCTCTGCTTCACTTCTCTGTTTGCAAACCATGTGGAGCCAGGCTGAGATCTGCAAGAGCCCTAGAGATGCCTCCACAGCCAATGGATTCCCCAAGACTTTGCACTCACTGACCTGTGATCTTCCTGCATTTTGCATGTGCTTCATGAGTCTGAAGAGAGATTTATGGATTTATGGATTAATATTGGACTTATGGACTTGATCTGGACTTGGCTGGCATGATTTCTTAGTATACAATTGCTCTTTGATATAAAATTCTTAATTACACATATATGAGGGTCAATGATTTCGTTTCTCTAGTCACTCTGGCCTAATACATTATGGTACCAGGATTGGGGAACTAGAGAAACATCATGAAGATGGAGAGTGGATGCTTGTCTGACCTCTGCCTCCTGGCACTCTTTCTTCTCTGGCTAGCTGGAGGTCAGATAAGGCCATACAGTTTATTGGGTGTTTTTTGGAAAAAAAACCAACTATTCTTTAATTGTTGTCTTTGGTAATTCCTGTTTGAAATAGAGAAAATGTATGTGATCAATGTAAATTTTGACCTCGGGGCAAAATGGTCCGTTGAAGTTTGAGGCCATGCTGCTTAGTCAAAAGGGCTGACAGAAGGCCCCAAGCTTGCTTGATGCATTTGAATGGAATAGTTTAGCAAAGATAAGATTGAATTTGACTGCTTTAAGAATTGAGTTTTGGATCTGGCAGTACTAGGTTTATACTGGTTTCTTATGCGTATTATTATTGATATAATTGTGGTAGAAATTATTATTAGGAAGTGAGTTAGTTTATTGTGCCAACCTGGCCAATAAACATGTGGGATTAATTGAAGGGCGGAGGGATAAATGGCTTGGTGAGCCTCGCCTTTCGAGTTCTCGGGTCTCTTGCTTTGTGATGGTCAGACCAGGGTGCAGTTGCCTTAGCAGTTCCCAACTTCAGCTTGCAAGGCCGACTTCCTGCAAGACATCCCTAAGGAGAAGCCACATGGACCTACCCTGATGCAGCCCTGGGCGCTGGAGCACCCGTGTGGAGACCCCTGCCAGCGCTGAGATGTTTACACATTCACTGACTCTGCTTCCCTCCTGCAGTCAGTGTCATTGTGTCTGCTTTGTGAGATGGAGGAGGACTTTGTGGACTGGTGTTGGACATATGGGTTAATGGGTTAATGTTGTACTTGTGGGCTTGGGCAGCACTGGGTTGGGATGTTTTCTTGATGCTCACTTAACCTTTATATAAAACTCTCTCTTATACATGAGTTTTTGTGGATTGGTTTCTCTAAAGTACCCATACTAATACAGGAAGTATGAAAATGGAGAGTTTTTAAGCCCATTTCCTTCAGCCATTAAAATGGGAACTTTAAATGGGTGTGGGACAAGCCTTCAAAGAAGGTTCTGAAAAGATAAGCCACACCCAGTAGTTTGAGTGCTCAGGGTATTTGCATTTGAAGAAGAGATTTGCTGATGAGGCTGTTGACAGACTGAAGAATAAGAAAGGAATAGTTTGCCAGATTTACTTACTGTCTGTTGAACTGTAAGCCTCATGGGCCTTTGTCCGTCTTCTCTGTAATTCAGTGCCAAGCAGTCAAGCCTAGAACATAGGACATATGAAATAACTCTTTGTCAACTTTCTGTTGCTATTCTGTGTCCTAGAGAGAGAGAGAGAGAGAAATTAGAGGAAGAAAAAACAATTACAACAGATTTGATATGCCATTGAAAGAGTCTAATAGCTCAACATCAATCAGCATTTGCATATGCAAAGAATTTCAGACTGCTTCTGAAGAGCAGAACAGGAGCCATTTCTAGAAGGTCTCCTATCGCCCAAACTGAGTTCTATTGCCTCCAGGCTGCAACTGTCCAGGCCACATTTTCACAAAGCACTGTTTATGGCAAGCCCAGGCAACTAGCACACTGGCCAATTAGATGATAAGAGCACCGAAGTTATAGACAAACAATTTAGTTCAAAGCATATTGAGTACCAAGTACATGCCAGGGCTTGTATTAGGTTCCAAAAAGACAGCTTCCTTTTGACCGCCTTCATGACCTGACAGTGTGGTTTGGGCAAAGGTGACATACACAGGTGATTCAATTTAATGAGGAAGCTATGGTAGAGTGTGTTGAGTGCTACAAAGACTTACTAATAGCTTACTAATTGTGTCCCTAGGCAGATGGATCATCTCTCAGAGCCCTGCATTTCCTCAACTATCAAATGGGGCCAGTAATTCCTACTCAAAGGGTTGCTTTGAGAACTAAATGAAGTAGCATTTATAAAACATGACAGTGTTTTAACACACAGAAGACACAATAAATAGTATCCATTACATTATTCAGTAAGGCCAAAATTCAGAGTGTTTGCTCTCTCTGTGTTGACTGAATTTGTTTGATTCTTCCACCACAAACTTAAGTTTCCACGTAACCCCAGTAGCTATAACAAGAACCCACTATCATACTCACCTTTGTTCATAGGAGAGACTGAACATGGAATGATGATGATGTTCGCACAAATCTATGATTGCTACTTGAATAATGCTACAGAGAGCACTGTTCTGATAGTGGGCCAGGAGGGTTGTTTTTGTATGAGAACAGCAGCTGGCACTGCCTCCCCCACTTCTCATCGCTTCTGTCCACTCGCCCATTTTCTCCTCTGCAGTCAAAAGTATCTCTGGCCTGCTGCTCCGACCACGCTACCCTCTCTTCTTCCTCTACTGAGAGATCTCAATGGTTCCTTCTGAACCCAAATTGAACTCATAATTCTGTTGTATAGTTCAAGTACTAGGGAGTCCTAATGTTTTTGACTTTTTTTAATACTAAAGAACTTGTCTCTATTTTCCCCTATCAGCTATTTCGTGCCTTTGTCCAAGCTTCCCTCTCAGAGTGGCCCAGTGTGGAAACATCTCCAAGGTTTTGTGACTTAAATGTCACTGTCAAAATTGCCCCAGAGAATCTTGGATATGCTCCATATTGTGCCTATATAAATTAGATTGGGCTATTCTTGAGAAGCTTCGGTTTAAAGAAAAGTTAATGGACTTGACTTATAAGATTTCTGGTGATTTTTTTTCTCAGTTCTTTCATTTCCTCATATCTTACTATACAGATAATAATTCACCCAGCCACAATTCTCCATGGATGCTTCTTCTCGAAATCATTATTTTTGAATATGACCTCACTACTGGGGAATTGTCCAAGGGAGCTATGTAGTAATTGAGAGTTCATTATTCTGTATATAGTGATTAATATAACTGAAATTAAAAATAATCATTTTGTTAACCTTGCAAACATTTGAGTTATATAATGCTTATCACAAATCATGTTTTCCTGTGTGTCCATAATGAATTTGTCAAGATACTTTGTGGGCTACATTAAAAAAGCCCAATCATATCTGTAGTTGGTAGAATTCTACAACCTCCAATTATCTATCCCCGGGGAAATGACCCAAGAGTGCAGAAGGTGCAGTCAAGAGTCATGGAAAATTACTCCCAAGTCTTGAAACCAAATGGAGTTTCCCTCCTAGATAATCAAATTTCAAATTGGTGATTCCTTTTTTTCTTCAGTCCTCCTTTTGAACTGAAATGTCTGTAGTTCTCCTAGGCTTACAAGAAGCACTGTAGGTTAGGCCTTGGGCTACTAATAGCTTAAGGTTAGCAGTTGAAGCCCACCATTCACTTCTCAGGAAAAAGATGAGACTGTCAGCTACCATAAATACTGACAGAAATTCTACGTAGGATCATTATGAGTTCACTCCGTGACCGTGGGTCTGGTTTGAGGTTTTGATGACTGTCATACCATTGCGTGTTGTGAATAATTTGTCTTTTCAGTTTTTCAGGTCCATGGAAAAAAATTGTGGCCAGATTGAATTACACCCAAGATCATCATCTATCTGATATAAATGATAATGTTTTGGACCATTATGCTGATATTCTGTGGATAAGCATTTGGACTGTGAATGAATTCTGTAAACAGAAGAAACTTTTAAAAACATTGGAAGGAGGTGAACGTATTTTGCACTTGGGATAAAGATGCATCAGTGGGATCGATAGACAGTTGAAAACAAGAAAATCACCAATTGGAATTGCTATCTAAGAAAGCTATTAGATTATGTGAAATTCAGGTTCACAATCTCAATTTGAAAAATCAATGGACCAGCTGCATTACAGAATTGAGATCTCTTACCTAACACTGAGCAGGGTCTGGGGCAGCATCTAAAAATAAAACACAGTAGTATTTCTTCAATAGAACACGTGAATACTCACCATGAGTGGAGTAAAGACTTACTATAAGTTAGATCCAGTTAAGTTTGCTGCCAAATGGGAGGCAGTCAAGAAAGATTTTGCTTCCAAAAATGCTATAAAAATTTTTCAGGTTTTTAGTATTTGATTCTGGGAGTTGTGGATAAGGGATTATTCTTCATTCTTTCCAAGGAGGGAGATTAAGTATTGGTAAAATCTGGTGTTTGCAATAAAAGTGAAATATAGAATAATACTTTCTTTAAGTTAAAATTGAATACATTTGAGGTGCTATGTGTGTGTGAGAAACAGTGAGCTCTTATGCCTATTTTTGGTCAGTAATTGAACATTGATTCTCTTTCTTATCCAAGCTTTTTTTTCCTTTTAATTAAGTAACAGAATTTACTAAAATTATTTTATTAACTATCCCCTTAAATTTTTCTTACGTAGTTGATTTTCCAACTTGTAATTCAGAATCTAATTATATTTCTATCATTACTCCAGTACCTGTGTATTTACAATTTCTTCTCAGTTTTCATTGGACCGTATGGAAATAGAATATTTCTAATACTGAAACACATCTATGACCTATGCTGTCCCTTAGTGCACATTAATTCACACTTATTGCCACAGTCTTTCTATTAAAAAAATATTTGGAAACAATGATGGCAACATATGTACAAATGTGCTTGATATAATTGATGTATGGATTGTTATAAAAGCTGTAAGAGGCCAAAATAAAATGATTTAAATTTTTTTAAAAAAGAATGAATACAAAGAGAAAGCAAGAGCAGTAAAAAAATCAAGTAAACACTGGACTTTTAAAAAAAATTGTTTTATTAGGGGCTCATACAACTCTTATCACAATCCATACATGCATCAATTGTGTAAAGCACATTTGTTCATTCATTGTCCTCATCATTCTCAAAACATTTGTTCTCCAAGGACTTTCGTTTTTTAATTAAAAGATGAATGATAACTAGGATTTCGTGGAATTTAATCTTTACGGAAGCAGAATGCTACCTCTTTCTCCCACAGAGCAACTGATTGGTTTGAACACTTACCTTTCAGTTAACAGCCAATATGTTGGAATGGCTAATCCACAAGATAGATATTCCTCTGTTATCATTTGTATCAGGATGAAGGAAATGGCCAGTCTGAGACTACACCCTTCTAAGGAAGCATTTTTTTTCCTACTATTGTTGGGGTATATTCAGTCTAACTTCCTTAAATTAGCCAAAGATAATTATAGCACTGCCTCAATGTCAACCCTTGGTAGACACAAGCACCTCCTCTTTACCTTAAAGGTCCTTCATCTTACCCATTGCCAATGAGAGAATTCCGATTCATAACAACCCAACAGCAATTCTGTAAGATGGTGTGGAACTGTCTCATAAGGTCTCCAAGGCTGTAATCGTTAAGAAAGCAGAATGACACATTTTTCCCCTACAGACAACTGATAGCTTTGAACTCCTACCGTTCAGTTACTAGCCAAGCACTTACCCATTGGATCATCAAGGCTGCTCCATCATCTTGTTTGTTTTAATTCTGAATTTTGAAATGCAGCATTATATGATGTAGAAGAGCTTATGTATATTTTCTATTGTTGTACTTAGACTAGAGAGAAATAAAGACCTTCAGAAATTGGCCACACCCTAATAACGAGGCCTTGTGATTCTCCTGTTACGCACAAATCATCTCACAGAACATTAAGGTTACTCTGAGGCCATGATAAAATGAGACACAATAAGGCCCTTTCTTAACTTTTTCTTGGGAAAGACAAAAACCCAAACCGTTTGTGACTTACAAAATACCAACCATCTCTTCTCTCAGCCAAAACGATTGGCTCTTCCTATCAACCAGCTGCAACTTTGTCTTCATTGTATTAAAGAGAGTTATTGAGATACCAAATCATAGAACCTAATTTCTGAAAAACAACCCATCTTGAACAAACCTTCATTTCCATAGACTTTCCTCCAAATTACCTAACCAAACCGCAAACACTATATAACAGGTTCTTTGCCACACACCCTTACTGAGATACTAGTTTTTATGGTGGGATTGGCTGCTAACCCAAGATTGCCAGTTCAGACCCACCTATCAACTTCACAGAAGAACGGTCTGACAAACTGCTTCTGTTGAGATGACAGCCAAGAAAACCCTATGGATTTTTTGTTATTGCACAGATTGGTTAGAAGAAACTATAGAATGCTTTCAAAAATAAAATGAAAATCCCTTCCAAAATATAACCAAACTAAGGAAAATGTTTATTTCTTAAATTTGATTCCAAGTTCTCATGCCTCCTTATGTCTATGTAGTAAACACATGACTGACAACAGACAGTTGACCACACCCACATTGAGAGCGT